CGTCGCACCATGGTCCTTTCAGAGCAAGAATGCCAGCCGCACTCAATCAAGCCAAGTTCGTGTTTATTCGTCGTGACGCACACCGATCTCCTTTACAAAGACCTTATGAAGGACCATTCGAAGTTTTGCAACATGGGAATAAAACTTTCAAAGTACAGATTGGAAACCGAAGCGAAACTATTTCTGTTGACAGGTTAAAGCCAGCTCATCTTGATCTCGACCATCCTGTTTCTGTATCCATTCCTAAACCAAGAGGACGTCCTCCAATCCCTAAAACAACAACGAACAATCAGCGTTCTACAGACGATCGTTCATCCGAACCTACAACCGGTTATGATTACAGAACCAAATTTGGTAGAAAAACTCGTAAACCCACTAGATTTTTATAACTCATTCCGTCTGGGGGGTAGTGTGGCGAACCACTTAACTAATAATAGCCGTTATGAGTCACAATTGTTTTGTTTATGTTTTTGTCACGCATGATTACTTACGTGCTTTTCTTACGATAACTTGTCATTCTGTTTTCTGTTCGCTTGTCGTTAACATTGCTTTGTTATGAATTAAACATCAACATAATTGAAAGTCTTTTTCTTGTTAGAAAGAAGTTAGTTCGCTTCATGTTCAGCTTTTTAGTGTTTTCAACCACCTCATTATTCGTCGGAAGAAATTTCATCCATTTCTTTTTTTTAGTGTTCAGCTTTTTAGTGTTATCAACCACCTCATTATTCGTCGGAGGAAATTTCATCCATTTCTTCTTTTTATGGTTCAGCTTTTTAGTGTTTTCAACCACCTCATTATTCGTGGAAAAAATTTCATCATTCTTCTTTTAGTGTTCAGCTTTTTAGTGTTTTCAACCACTTCATTATTCGTCGGAAGAAATTTCATCCATTTCTTCCTTTTAGTGTTCAGCTTTTTAGTGTTTCAACCACTCATTATTCGTCGGAAGAAATTTCATCCATTTCTTTCCTTTTAGTGTTCAGCTTTTTAGTGTTTCAACCACCTCATTATTCGTCGGAAGAAATTTCATCCACTTCTTCCTTTTAGTTCAGCTTTTTAGTGACTTCAACCACCTCATTATTCGTCGGAAGAAATTTCATCCACTTCTTCTTTTTAGTGTTCAGCTTTTTAGTGATTTCAACCACCTCATTATTCGTCGGAAGAAATTCATACTTTTCCTTTTAGTGTTCAGCTTTTTAGTGTTTCAACCACTCATTATTCGTCGGAAGAAATTTCATCTTCTTTTTTAGTGTTCAGCTTTTTAGTGTTTTCAACCACCTCATTATTCGTCGAAAAATTTCATACTTCTTCCTTTTAGTGTTCAGCTTTTTAGTGATTTCAACCACCTCATTATTCGTCGGAAGAAATTTCATCCACTTCTTCCTTTTAGTGTTCAGCTTTTAGTGACTTCAACCACCTCATTATTCGTCGGAAGAAATTTCATCCACTTCTTCCTTTTAGTGTTCATTTTTAGTGATTTCAACCACCTCATTATTCGTCGGAAGAAATTTCATCACTTCTTCCTTTTAGTGTTCAGCTTTTTAGTGACTTCAACCACCTCATTATTCGTCGGAAGAAATTTCATCACTTCTTCCTTTTAGTGTTCATCTTTTTAGTGTTTCAACCACCTCATTATTCGTCGGAAGAAATTTCATCACTTCTTTTTTAGTGTTCAGCTTTTTAGTGACTTCAACCACTCATTATTCGTCGGAAGAAATTTCATACTTCTTCCTTTTAGTGTTCAGCTTTTTAGTGACTTCAACCACCTCATTATTCGTCGGAAGAAATTTCATCCACTTCTTCCTTTTAGTGTTCAGCTTTTTAGTGATTTCAACCACCTCATTATTCGTCGGAAGAAATTTCATCCATTCTTCTTTTAGTGTTCAGCTTTTTAGTGTTTCAACCACCTCATTATTCGTCGGAAGAAATTTCATCCATTTCTTTTTTAGTGTTCAGCTTTTTAGTGTTTCAACCACCTCATTATTCGTCGGAAGAAATTTCATCCATTTCTTCCTTTTAGTGTTCAGCTTTTTAGTGTTTCAACCACCTCATTATTCGTCGGAAGAAATTTCTTCCTTTTAGTGTTCAGCTTTTTAGTGACTTCAACCACCTCATTATTCGTCGGAAGAAATTTCATCCACTTCTTCCTTTTAGTGTTCAGCTTTTTAGTGACTTCAACCACCTCATTATTCGTCGGAAGAAATTTCATCACTTCTTCCTTTTAGTGTTCAGCTTTTTAGTGATTTCAACCACCTCATTATTCGTCGGAAGAAATTTCATCTACTTCTTCCTTTTAGTATTCATCTTTTTAGTGATTTCAACCACCTCATTATTCGTCGGAAGAAATTTCATCCACTTCTTCCTTTTAGTGTTCAGCTTTTTAGTGATTTCAACCACCTCATTATTCGTCGGAAGAAATTTCATCCACTTCTTCCTTTTAGTGTTCAGCTTTTTAGTGTTTTCAACCACCTCATTATTCGTCGGAAGAAATTTCATCCATTTCTTCCTTTTAGTGTTCAGCTTTTTAGTGTTTCAACCACCTCATTATTCGTCGGAAGAAATTTCATCCATTTCTTCCTTTTAGTGTTCAGCTTTTTAGTGTTTTCAACCACCTCATTATTCGTCGGAAGAAATTTCATCCATTCTTCCTTTTAGTGTTCAGCTTTTTAGTGTTTTCAACCACCTCATTATTCGTCGGAAGAAATTTCATCCATTTCTTCCTTTTAGTGTTCAGCTTTTTAGTGTTTTCAACCACCTCATTATTCGTCGGAAGAAATTTCATCCATTTCTTCCTTTTAGTGTTCAGCTTTTTAGTGTTTTCAACCACCTCATTATTCGTCGGAAGAAATTTCATCCATTCTTCCTTTTAGTGTTCAGCTTTTTAGTGTTTTCAACCACCTCATTATTCGTCGGAAGAAATTTCATCCATTCTTCCTTTTAGTGTTCAGCTTTTTAGTGATTTCAACCACCTCATTATTCGTCGGAAGAAATTTCATCTACTTCTTCCTTTTAGTGTTCAGCTTTTTAGTGATTTCAACCACCTCATTATTCGTCGGAAGAAATTTCATCCACTTCTTCCTTTTAGTATTCATCTTTTTAGTGATTTCAACCACCTCATTATTCGTCGGAAGAAATTTCATCTACTTCTTCCTTTTAGTGTTCAGCTTTCTAGCGTTTTCAACCACCTCATTATTCGTCGGAAGAAATTTCATCCATTTCTTCCTTTTAGTGTTCAGCTTTTTAGTGTTTTCAACCACCTCATTATTCGTCGGAAGAAATTTCATCCATTTCTTCCTTTTAGTGTTCAGTGTTCAGCTTTTTAGTGTTTTCAACCACCTCATTATTCGTTGGAAGAAATTTCATTCATTTCTTTCTTTTAGTGTTCAGCTTTTTAGTGTTATCAACCACCTCATTATTCGTCGGAAGAAATTTCATCCATTTCTTCCTTTTAGTGTTCTGCTTTTTAGTGTTTTCAACCACCTCATTATTCGTCGCAGGAAATTTCCTCCATTTCTTCCCTTTAGTGTTCAGCTTTTTAGTGTTTTCAACCACCTCATTATTCGTCGGAAGAAATTTCATCCATTTCTTCCTTTTAGTGTTCAGCTTTTTAGTGTTTTCAACCACCTCATTATTCGTCGGAAGAAATTTCATCCATATCTTCCTTTTAGTGTTCAGCTTTTTAGTGTTTTCAACCACCTCATTATTCGTCGGAAGAAATTTCATCCATTTCTTCCTTTTAGTGTTCAGCTTTTTAGTGTTATCAACCACCTCATTATTCGTCGGAAGAAATTTCCCCCATTTCTTCCTTTTAGTGTTCAGCTTTTTAGTGTTTTCAACCACCTCATTATTCGTCGGAAGAAATTTCATCCATTTCTTCCTTTTAGTGTTCAGTTTTTTAGTGTTTTCAAACCACCTCATTATTCGTCGGAAGAAATTTCATCAATTTCTTCGTTTTAGTGTTCAGCTTTTTAGTGTTTTCAACCACCTCATTATTCGTCGGAAGAAATTTCATCCGATTCTTCCTTTTAGTGTTCAGCTTTTTAGTGTTATCAACCACCTCATTATTCGTCGGAAGAAATTTCATCAATTTCTTCGTTTTAGTGTTCAGCTTTTTAGTGTTTTCAACCACCTCATTATTCGTCGGAAGAAATTTCATCCGTTCTTCCTTTTTAGTGTTCAGCTTTTTAGTGTTATCAACCACCTCATTATTCGTCGGAAGAAATTTCATCAATTTCTTCGTTTTAGTGTTCAGCTTTTTAGTGTTTTCAACCACCTCATTATTCGTCGAAAGAAATTTCATTCATTTCTTCCTTTTAGTGTTCAGCCTTTTAGTTTTTATTATTTTTTCATCTTTGGGAACACTCCAACTTTCGGAAATCATCCACTTCATCCGTTTCTTCTTTCAGCTTTTTAGTGTTGTCCGGATAATTGCTACAATTTGTTAGGTAAAAGCCCCGTGCGCCAATAGGGTGCTTAACGTTTCTATTTTTCGAACTGAAACCGATAGTTAGACAGATATCCCATGAACTCTCGATGACAACATGGTCAATGAAGACAGCCAGGGTGGTTTTAAATGTAGCCTTCTAATGTAAAATCGGTAAATTTACAGTTGAAAAAAATCACAGCTATGGTATTTGGAGGCGTCCCGCTTTTAGGTCACAGAAATTTGGTAACCCTAAATTTAGCTATTCTGTCAATGACCAAAGAGTGCTTTTTTCGGAATTACTCTGAGAGGTCTATAAAAACTAAGATCTGTTATGTAACTATGTCTAATGACGTACAACAACTCGGCCATTGGTGCAATGTACCAAGGGCCATTGACAACCTCCTCAACACCTTCCTTGTCCAGGAATCTGAACGAGTTGAACAGGGTAATCCTGTAACCAATCCTATTAATTTGTAACGTGGTTGAGTCATTTTTTGTCTGTCCGATATAAACAAAAAAATCCTATCACAGGTCACAACATAAGAAAAAGACGAAAAAAGTTTAGCATGGTTTTCATTTTATTTTATACATTAATTAGATGCTATAATTCACATAACCTCATATAAACAGTGCAACGAACAGAAGCGGGGAAGATTAAAAACAAGTAAATACACGCACATATGTAGGCTAATCACCATCAAAGACAAAGCAATGTATCAATTATGGAAATATAGCTTCATATTTCGAATAACGTCATGTTGGAAGTGATCCACGTCGTACAAAACGGTTGGATACTGCATTACTAAATATAACCACTTCTTAGTCGAGTTCGAAATTATGTCGGGCAAAAAATGCACCACAATGCATGTGTATTGGTCATTAAATTTTGAAGAATTATTATCTCATGTATATGGTCTCAATTATATGAGTCATTACAGCTTCCTAGATTCTTGCAAACTAACTTGTGAATATATGTCTATTGTGGAAATTGCCGCCTTATTCTGTTGTTGAAAGTAAATTTGTGGACAAAGACAGTTGTGGTTGAAGACTAAAACAATCAATTTCACTTTTCGCACAAAAACTGCAAGGGTGTGGAACAAGACAAGTCATTTAGGTTCCATGGAGCGTGTGGTTGTAAATGTACGCAATCCTCGTTCCCAGAGTTGTCCGGTTGAATCGTGTTCCCCCAATAGGTATTTTTCTCAGTTGAAGTTACCCCGTCTTGCCAAACAAACTCGCCTTCTTGTTGAATGTCATCCAAACCAATCCAAGTGCCGAGTCCCGATACTTTGATCAGTGGCATTATTTCACTGTTAAGAAAATATTGTATGAAGATTATACAATCGCAATTCTTTTTTTACTAATTGGGCATCTAAGCTGGAGGTGATTAATTCAACTTGGAAGAATTGCTCATAATCTAAGATAAGATGCTTTTACTAGCCAAGTAACATGAATTTTGTTGGGAGAGTTGGATGAAAGCAGACGTTGTCGAAGCAGTTGTAAATGGTTCCAGACTAAAGGTACATGATCACCATTATAAACATATACACCATAGTCTAACGTGAAATAGTTCGAGATGTCAAAGTAGACTGAAATATGGAACATGCTACTTATGCTAATGACTGGTGGCGTTAACTTGATGTGCACATACGGCCATAAATATACATATACAGCCATTTTAATTACGGTATGTATAGCCTACAGGCAGGGGCGTGTCAACATTTCTGCTGCCCAGGGCGAGTTTCTGATAATGATGCCCTGTATACCCAATATCAAAAATAATTTGGGGTATCAACGAATTATAGATGTTGTTATACATGAGAATAAATAAATAAAAGGTCAAGTAAGAGCGAAATATTGGTATTATATTATTATTTTTAAAATCATCATTAACTAAGCAACAAACTCACCCCTATAACGTACTACCCGGGCCCCTACGGCCCCCCTTCAGACACTCCCTGCCTATAAGATAGTCAATCGATTTTAGTAGCAGGGATAGCGCTGTGTTTGTAATTTTAGAGTTACACCCTGTACATTTATCGAGTTATCGCGAAAAGGTACTATGATACACTTTGCATTTTCTTGAAGTTCGGTTGTTGCACGATAGTTTGAACGTACAGATATAGCCTAATTATGAAATCATAATACCCCACAACAAACGTCATGTCGAAGAATGTGTGGGTAACAACAATGACATGAATAAACTACTGTTAGGACATTGGTAGTCATTGAAAACAAACTGATCAAAACAAAGTTTATTATAAACTATCTTGCATATGGTTCAACTCGAGAGGTATCTCGAGATAATTTTTGTTAGGTGCAGCTAACTTCGCTGACAAGATGTGATTTTATTGTTTCGCTTAGTAATATTTCGTGTATTTAGTTTAAAGTAACCAAAGTATTCGTGCCTGAAAACCAGCGAAAATAAATAGCCTACAGATACTCATTGACAGAGGCTAATTCACAGACTATAATGACAATCAAACCAGCAATATTATTCCTGATTTAAGTTGTTTTCCATTGATAGAATTTGAAAAAGTCAATGTGCAAACATTTTAGATTGAATAAAAATACGTATGTGTATTTGACTGTCATATGTTTTTAAAATCTTATACAAAGTTTAAAGTGCAGTTATTCAAAATACTATATTAGGAGGAAACTGAAAAGTGCCGCCATCTGCTAACTTCCGTGCTATTGATCCCGAAACAACAGCAAACTGCTACGTTGTATAATACAGTTTTAATTACTGATATTTCTAGCTCCCGAGTGCGGGATCATTTCCTAGTTCAATAGTGAGTAATCGACATAAACACTATTTTAGCGTTAGTCGTTATAACATTTACGTTAATAAACCATTAAGTATAAGGAAGTAATCTGCAGATCTTTTCAATGCAAAAAATAACCGGTAATCTAACTTGATTTTACATGTGACATGAGAGTAATGATCGAATATATGAACACAAAGGTCGCGCGTTGATGCAATAATCTGAGATGCTAGTTTTGTAAAAAGTTTTTAAATATTACACCAATTGTAAAATGTTAATTACCCAGAATACTATATGACTGCCTTCAATAAAACGCGAGGCCTTCGGCTTCTGTGGCCACGATGTGTCGTGCACAATCCAAAACCCCACATAACTCGTAAGTGGCCACTGTTAATGTAATCAATAACCGTTTGAAAAATTTACTTGTCGTAATCATTTGTTTCAAATTTACTTTCCTGTTTTCTCTTCACTGTACTCTTTTCTATTACGTCCATAGGAATTTTTGTTTCAATTTTCATAGCAAGTCCCTGATCTTTAAATTCGCTAGATCTCTGGGCACTACTCTACATCAAATTAATGTAGTCTAAACCTGGGCTACCTCAAAGTTTTGGCGAGATGTAGCCCGTTAAGAGGTTGACTACCAATTCAAGAGCCCGAGCCCGTATGGAGCATTTTGAGAACCTTTGTCCTGAACAATTTTTGGCTGTTTATTATATATTTACCTGAAAACTGTACGATTCCGGATTCCAGCCGAAGCGAGACCTGCGCCATGTTTCTTGCACTCCAATTGGGCATTTCCGTATGTCACTCCCTCACGGAACAGCTTATATGAAAAGCCATTGATTGCTGGATACCAAGTTGTTTTTTTGTATACATTTTGTCGTAGTTGTTTGATGATATCTGATGACAATGACACAAGTTTTTTAGTCATTTACTCACCAAAGGCGCTCAAAATTCAGCTTTTTAACCAGTTAAGCATTGATATTTGATTATAGTGTTTTAAATGTCTATATACAGTTGATTTAAGTATATAGCTGAATTAAACATAATGCATTTTCTGTCCAAATGATTTATGTTGAAAATACCACAACGGGATTAGGCAACGTGAGATTTTTTAAAATCAATCGACAAATTGGCAAATCTGAACCTGCAGACACAAAGCATACTACAACTGCTAATCATATTGGTAGGTTAGATATTTACCAGACGAGATAGTCATCATGCAATATAGTAAAATTAGACAAATTTTTCAGTTTAACAAAATATGATTTTGGGCGGCCAGCTAGTAACTAGCTATCTTTTGAAGAGAAACGAACGATAGATGAGGATGACTTTGTTGATAAACAAGTTAACAATATTATAATATTTTTATATATTACCATCCGCATTTGGATTCTGGCAGGATCCTTCCGATATCAGACGACCGTTTCTCAACTTACGCACACACGGTTCTTCACCTGAATATATATAAATTGCTGTATTTACAATACTTTTTCGAGGCAAGGAAAGAGTTGTAAAACATGATGACGTAAATTAATGAATGAAGCTAAAACTGCGTAAACTGTTTCCATCGGTCGCAATAAGCAATTACAAAAACAATAGAGCAGCGGTTCTCACACTTATTAAGCCGCGCCCCCATTTTTAGAATATGTCAAATCTTGCGCCAGAAAAAAAAATAGCTAACAATAGCTAGAAATAACACATAGCAAGGCGAAAGTATGTTTTATTCAAAAAACACAATAAAAATACGTGGATGGAGCGTAAATATCCAAGATAAAGAAATGTGAATATGCAAAATATGGTGGGCCAGACCAAATATTTAGCTTCACATCCATTTAATAAATTGTCTACGCCCCCTTCTACCTTCTGAGAAACACTGCCATAGAGCATTCTCTGTTTTACTGCGCAAACGAGAACACTTATAGTCCAGTTCAAACGTTTTAAAAACAAAACTTGTCAATAAAAAGGTTAAATTATTTATACGCATATATAGTTCAAGGACAATATTCTATCATTTTTACAAACTTTCAATAGCGCAAACTTTTATCAGTAGAAAGTTTGCTGAATGTCAATCCTGAAAACGACTCAATATTAATTTCACTCACCTTTCAGTAACTCTGGAGCAAGAGAAAATAACCAGATGAAAAGAAGACAGGTTTTAATATTGCAATCCATTTACCTGTTTCTAGTTGTGTGATGTGCAGTTTAAAGTGTGATAAATTTTTCACCTGTAAATTAATAAACTGGTTTATAAATTGTGAATTTATGAATTAAAAACCTAGTTACTGAATTATTAAAATTGGAATGTTTATTAAATCATTCAACATCCACAATCCTTCGAGATGTTTCATTTATTAAAAAATATCTGTCTACGAATTACAATTTAAATTCCGATAGCTTACGATATTTTAAGAATTTCCCTTTTAGCAACTTTCATCTAAATATTTCAGTTTATTCTAAATATTCTGGTGCTACCATGGCGTGGGGAATACTAAATCATAGCGAGATCTCAAATTATTGATTAAGCTTGGTGTCTATTGCTGCATTCTTGAATGAATATAAACTATCTCTATACGTTTTAGCAGTAAACACCTTATTTGACTTAACCTCAAGACTGTACCTATGTTAGGGACACATAGTGATATATATATATATATATATGGGGATAGACCTCACGATAAGAAGTAATAATATTTAATCTTCTTCGCGAAATTTCAGCAAAGCAAAACGAATATTATATGATGTGAATTATATTTAAATCACACAGGCGTAGAAACAAGGACAGCCAAAAATAAAATGAGTCGATATTCACCAGCGCATGTAATATATCCGAATTTAAAAAGTTTGTGCGCCTGGATAATAATGTGCATTGAGCGTTCACGTTAGGTTTTTTCCCTTTAGTCATTGTTTCCAGAATGATCAAGGAAGTAAATGGCCGATGGAACATTTGCTATATATATATAGTTATTATGTCATTTCCTAACTGTGATCATTTTTTGAGGCGTTGAACTTGAAGGATGGGTGTTTCACCCTGACATATATCAAGTTCTGTGTCATAAACAACTCGTTTGCACTTTCTAGTACATACTTAGTAATCTGCATTTTGCAAATATTTGTGAACATAATCTAAAAATCGACCCAATTCTAATTAGCATATATATATGTTTAAAATCTCTACAGATCTATCAATATGTTTTTGTTGATTTGCCATATGATTCCTAGTGTTCAGTAAAATATTCACGACCAACATTTTAAAAATCATTCCACGAATATCTTCATGTAAACCAACAACCTTCGTTGATCCATAGCTCTTAATTTTATCAGCAAAGTTTGCGGAGAAAGAATTAACCATGAGAAGCACAGACAAAATGTACAAAAATCGTATAACAACATTCTTTGATTTTACTCATAAAACGGTACTCCTGAAGTATGCGCACCAAGATGTCGCATACCCTGAATCCTAACCTGGTACACAACCTGAGTTCAGGATGTGCGCCATCTTGGTGCGCATACTTCAGGAGGTCCCATAAATCAACTTCAATCTTCGATTTACAAATTAACTGCATATACGCCTATATTACTTAACGATTAAATGTGGAAAGTTGATTTTGAGAATCGCTTACTAGTTCTAATACGACAGTAAACGAAGAATGAACGAATGAATAATATTCTCAGGAAATCTGATCGCAATTGCAAGATGATGGGTCGGTCACAACGCAAATATTTAGTCATGATTTGTATTAGGTCAACGGTTGGTGTATAGATCAATCAAATAGACCGGACGTGGTCACAAAGCAACACTGGGATATACTTGGGGGTTTTGCTTGCATTTAAAAGCCCTTATAGTCTGTAAATTTACACACTAAAAAGTTTATCACTGGCAATGTATAGTAGCAATGTGTTATGAACTATATCTTCCTTCGTGTATGTACTAGCTACACGTGGGACTATATGAGTCGGCCACATTCTCAATGTTAATCTAAGGGCAACAGGCATTCAAAATTTCATTCAATTGCTAATAACCCTAATTTCTATAGAAATGTCGTGTTGATAAAAAATAGCGTTACCAATGTCTATTGCACTGCTAACGTATAAACCAGTTATTAATGACTCGTGGCCTCTGAAATACGCCAATCATCAAAATATTGTATACGTCCGTGCTTCTCAAAGTGGGCGTCGCGACGCAAAAGTGCGTCGTTTCAATTGTGGTGAAATTTATTCGGACTTCGGATCCACGCTCGTTCAACAAAATGACGAAGAAAAGCCGTAATGTATGGCTCGTAATAGGATTTTGGGCTGTGTAAGCATAAGTTTAAACGGCATTTAGTAACAATTCATCCCCGGTTGCACAAAAAAGATGGACATTTTTGACTCTTAAATTGAACGAACTCAATCGTCAAGTATCCACTTTTCCAACTTCACGAAATTACCATCAAATGCTCGATTAGAATCATATTTCGTTGATTTGAGAAATTGTGCACGGAAATGAATGCAGAACATCGAAGTTTGTTGTTTTACTCAACATTGTGGTGACTTGCGCTGGGTAAATCGTTCGAACAAGTGTTCAAAGAGACTCATTGGAGAACTTCAAGCATTTCCACTGCATGAATAAAATGCACTTACCGACTGCATCGCACAAACGAATTTGTACTAAAGTTGCGGTACTTATGCGATATTCACAAAAACTTAATAAATGGAAGCTATCCTTGCAGGAAAAGGACAAAATGTACTTGGAGTCCCTAATAAAATTACAGCGTAGGATAAAAATTATCCTTCCTTGGTTAAACAAAAGGGTTGCGCACTCTCATCCCCTTTGCGCCTTCGTATTTATGTGAAGCATGTATGTAGTTTTTCTACCATGGCCGTAATCAAGACGAAATATCGATGTCGAATAAATGTTATAAGGAAAATTCGTGCAGATTTTCACAATTCACCGCACAAATCAATGGCATTTGTAAAAAGAAGCAATTACACCCATATCATCAAATGCAATTTCACTGACTTTCAATATGTTTTGTTTGTTCGTTTAAATAAAACTTCTTGCATTGTTTTTTATTGAAAAGTATCAAGACGTTTTTCGCGCAAAGTCGCAACCTGAGCATATTTTTCATTGGGCGTCGCAACACAAAAAAAGTTTGAGAACCACTGGCATACGTAGTCAGAGGAGAGAGTTACAGTATTTATATGTGGCGTCCAATAGGTTTCGTGAACTGATTCCTTCGTCTGGAAATACGGTTTGAACAAAATACCATATACGGTGGAGAGTGTTGTTAGTCAATTTGTAATCAATATATGTCCTATGTGCTTATCCTAACAGCGAAGCGTTCAGAGGACTCACTAGAAAAACAGTGATATAAAATTAATATTAAGAATATTCCCGAGTTGGTAATCTACTAATCCGATTGATCTGTAACATGGTTTGGTCATTTTTCGTCTGTCCGATATAAACAAAAGAATCCTATCACAAGTCACAACATAACAAAAAAGCCGGAAAAAGTTAAGCATGGTTTTCATTTTATTTTATACATTAATTAGATGCTATAATTCACATAACCTCATATAAACAGTGCAACGAACAGAAGCGGGGAAGATTAAAAACAAGTAGATACACGCACATATGTAGGCTAATCACCATCAAAGACAAAGCAATGTATCAGTTATGGAAATATAGCTTCATATTTCGAATAACGTCATGTTGGAAGTGATTCACGGAGAAATAAAGAATAGACACTGTGCAAAGTTGAGTTAATTACACTCATCACAGCAACCATAAACAGAAGCAAAACGGTTCGATACTGCATTACTAAATATAACCACTTCTTAGTCGAGTTCGAAATTATGTCGGGCAAAAAATGCACCACAATGCATGTGTATTGGTCGTGAAATTTTGAAGAATTGTTATCTCATGTATATGTTCAATTATATGAGTCATTACAGCTTCCTAGATTCATGCAAACTAACTTGTGAATATATGTCGACTGTGAAAATTGCCGCCTTATTCTGTTGTTGAAAGTAAATTTGTGGACATAGACAGTTGTGATTGAAGACTATAACAATCATTACTTATCGATTTTAATCGGTAAGTATGTTGATAGGTATTTGTCTGTCTGTATGTCTGTTTGTCTGTTAGATGCACGCGATATCTTGCGAAAGCGAGGATGAATCTGCTCCAGATTATGCATGTGCATTCATCTCATCTCGGACCAGAAGCCTATTGATTTTGGGCGAATTATGTCGTATAATTAGCGAGCTATTAATTAATTAGTGATGGGACACAAGGTGTCACTATGGAGTAAGAGCGCTGTTTTGGGAATCCCCTAACTTTCGATCGATAAGTCTTCGGTCTCTGACCGATATTCTCGTTTCACTTTTCGCAGAAAAACTGCAGGCGTGTGGAACAAGGAAAGTCATTTAGGTTCCATGGAGCGTTTCGTCGTAAATGTACGCAATCCTCGTTCCCATAGTTGTCCGGTTGATTCTTGTCCCAATAAGTATTATTTTTAGTTGAAGTGACCCCGTCTTTCCAAACAAACTTGCCTTCTTGTTGAATGTCATCCAAACCAATCCAAGTGCCGAGTTCCGATTCTTTGATCAGTTGCATTATTTCACTGTTAAGAAAATATTGTATGAAGATTATACAATCGCAATTCTTTCTTTACTAATGGGGCATCTAAGCTGGCGGTGATTAATTCAACTTGGAAGAATTGCTCAAAATCTAAGATCAGATGCTTTTACTAGCCAAGTAACATGAATTTTGTTGGGAGAGCTGGATGAAAGCAGACGTTGTCGAAGCAGTTGTAAATGGTTCCAGGCTAAAGGTACATGGTCACCATTATAAACATATACATCATAGTATAGTAGTAGTAAGAGTAAAATATTTGTATTATTATTATTTAAATCATCGTCAACTAGCAACAAACTCACCCTATAATGTGCTGCCTGGGGCGGCTTACCCTATTCACCCCTATCGACAAGATAGCCAGTCGATTTTATTAACATGCATAGCCCTGTGTTTGTGATTAGAGAATTACATTTTGTCTATTTATCGAGGTATTGTGGAAATGGTAAACCTGGGGAGGGCAGATCCCGCCCACCGGAATATTTCATCCGGTCCACTTGTGCCTGCTGAAATTATGACTATAGTTTTATGAATATAAATTTCCGTTGAAAATACGGATGAAATAACGGATCGTCGGCTAAAGTAAATACCATCATTCCCCACGTATTATCAGCACTGAATATAATGTGCAAAACCATCCATACGAATTATCTCTAGCGTACAAAAACTTCAGCTCTTGATTTATGAGCATTTGGGCCTGGAAATGTTTTGGTGCGGGCGTGAAATGCCAAACAAATGTTCTTTACTTTTGTCAAGCACAGCAATTGCCAGAGTATAATTCTCAATACTTAAACTAATATGGCAACAGAAAAATCATCATCAGTGAAAAAGTGATAAGTAAAAATAACATGATCTCTTTCAGCGAAATATTACTACCACTACTACTACAATATTCAAGTTCCCATAGTATCGGTGAAAAAGTTGCAATTTTAACAAATGGCTTAATCGCGACGACTATTGCTATCGGAATTTTCAGTCCGATTTTGAATATAAAATAAAATCAATCAAATATCACTCGCCTTCTAAATCCCAAGTTACATTAATTTCATTCGTAATGACAGGGGTGCGCATCATTTATTCTCTTTGAATAACCGATTTATCAAATAAAGTCATAATGACCTCAGTTGTTACATTGTGCTGTTAAGGAGGAAACTAAAAAGTGCCGCCATCTGCTAACTTCCGTGCCATTGAACCCGAAACAATAGCAAAATGCTACGTTTCATAAAGCAGTTTTGATCAATGATATTTCTAGCTCCCGAGTGCGGGATCATTTCCTAGTTCAATAGTGAGTAATCGACATAAACACTATTTTAGCGTTAGTCGTTCAAGCATTTACGTCAATAAACGATTAAGTATATGAGAAAACGATCTGCAGATTTTTTCATGTTTTAATAAATGAAATATAAGTGCAAAAAATAACCGGTAATCTAACTCGATTTTACATGTGGCATGAGTGTAATGATCGAATATATGGACATAAAGGTCACGCGTTGATGCAGTAATCTGAGAAGCTAGTTTTCCAAAAAGTTTTTAAATATTACACCATTTGTAAAATGTTATTTACCCAGAATAATATATGATTACCTTCAGTAAAAAGCGAGGCCCTCGGCTGCTGTGGCCACGATGTGTCGCGCACAATCCAAAACCCCACATAACTCGTAAGTGGCCACTGTTAATGTAATCAATAACCGTTTGGAAAAAAACTTGTCGTAATCATTTGTTTCAAACTTACTTTCCTGTTTCCATTTCACTATACCCTTTTCTTGTACGTCCATAGGAATTTTGGTTTCAATTTTCATAGCATGTCCCTGATCTTTGAAATCGCTAGATCTCTGGGCACTACTATACATCAAATGAATGTATTGTGAACCTGGGCTACCTCAAAGTTTTGGCGATATGTAGCCTGTTAAGAGGTTGACTACAATTTAAAGAGCCCCACAAATTATGACACTTGGCAGTAGTGTCGAAATGTGGCAACAAGGCAGTAACTAAAACATGGCATTATCTATATTGGAACTTATAGATTATGTCATATTTGAATTAACGCTACCGTTGTCAAAATTTATTAAAGCCTTTGTTGGTTCTTTGAAAAGTTACAAAGTTATTCAAGTGCACGGATAGATACCGGAGCCCATATGTTACTTTCGCGGAGAGCTTGGGCTCCGTATGGAGCATATTGAGAACCTATGGTCTGAACAATTTTTTAGCAGTTCATTAAATATTTACCTGCGCACTGTAGGATTCCGGATTCCAGCCGAAGCGAGACTTGCACCATGTTTTTCACACTCCAATTGGGCTGTTGCGTAATTCACTTTTTCATCGAACAGCTTATATGAAAAGCCATTGCTTGCTGGATACCAAGTTGTTTTTTTGTATACATTTTGTCTCAGTTGATTGATGATATCTGATGATAACGACGCAAGTATTTTAGTTATTTACTCACCAAAGGCGCTCAAAATTCAGCTTTTAAACCAGATTTTTGAGCATCGATACTTGATTGCAGTGGTTTAAATGTATGTTCACAGTTAATTAATTTACGTATATACGCTGAATTAAACATAATGCATTTTCTGTCCAAATGATTTATGTTGAAAATACCACAACGGGATTGGGCAACGTGAGATTTTTAAAAATCAATCGACAAATTGGCAAAACTGAACCTGCAGGCACAAAGCATACTACAACTGCTAATCATATTGGTAGGTTAAATATTTAACAGACGAGATAGTTATCAAGCAATATAGTAAAATTAGACAGATTTTTCAGTTTAACAAAATATGATTTTGGGCCGCCAGCTAGTAGCTAGCTATCTTTTGAAGAGAAACGAACGATAGATGAGGATAACTTTGTTGATAAACAAGTTAACAATATTATAATATTTTTATATATTACCATCCGCATTTGGATTCTGGCAGGATCCTTCCGATATCAGACGACCGTTTCTCAACTTACGCACACACGGTTCTTCACCTGAATATATATAAATTGCTGTATTTGCAATACTTTTTCGAGGCAAGGAAAGAGTTGTAAAACATGATGACGTAAATTAATGAATGAAGCTAAAACTGCGTAAACTGTTTCCATCGGTCGCAATAAGCAATTACAAAAACAATAGAGCAGCGGTTCTCACACTTATTAAGCCGCGCCCCCATTTTTAGAATATGTCAAATCTTGCGCCAGAAAAAAAAAATAGCTAACAATAGCTAGAAATAACACATAGCAAGGCGAAAGTATGTTTTATTCAAAAAACACAATAAAAATACGTGGATGGAGCGTAAATATCCAAAATAAAGAAATGTGAATATGCAAAATATGGTGGGCCAGACCAAATATTTAGCTTCACATCCATTTAATAAATTGTCTACGCCCCCTTCTACCTTCTGAGAAACACTGCCATAGAGCATTCTCTGTTTTACTGCGCAAACGAGAACACTTATAGTCCAGTTCAAACGTTTTAAAAACAAAACTTGTCAATAAAAAGGTTAAATTATTTATACGCATATATAGTTCAAGGAGAATATTCTATCATTTTTACAAACTTTCAATAGCGCAAACTTTTATCAGTAGAAAGTTTGCTGAATGTCAATCCTGAAAACGACTCAATATTAATTTCACTCACCTTTCAGTAACTCTGGAGCAAGAGAAAATAACCAGATGAAAAGAAGACATGTTTTAATATTGCAATCCATTTACCTGTTCCTAGTTGTGTGATGTGCAGTTTAAAGTGTGATAAATTTTTCACCTGTAAATTAATAAACTGGTTTATAAATTGTGAATTTATGAATTAAAAACCTAGTTACTGAATTATTAAAATTGGAATGTTTATTAAATCATTCAACACCCACAATCCTTCGAGATGTTTCATTTATTAAAAAATATCTGTAGATATGTAGACTGTACCTATGTTAGGGACACATAGTGATATATATATATATATATAGGTATATATATATATATATGGGTATATCACGATAAGAAGTAATAATATTTAATCTTCTTCTTATGTCATTTCTAACTGTGATCATTTTTTGACGCGTTGAACTTGAAGGATGGGTGTTTCACCCTGACATATATCGAGCTTTGTGTCATAAACAACTCGTTTGGACTTTCTAGAACATACGTAGTAATCTGTATTTTGCGAATATTTGTGAACATAATAAAAAAATCGACCCAATTCTAATTAGCATATATGTATGTTTAAAATCTCTACAGAGATATCAATATGTTTTTGTTAATTTGCCATATGATTCCTAGTGTTTGGTAAAATATTCACGACCAACATTTCAAAAATCATTCCACGAATATCTTTATGTAAACCAACAACCTTCGTTGATCAATAGCTTCTAATTTTATCAGCAAAGTTTGGGGAAAAAGATTTACCCATGAGAAGCACAGACAAAATGTACAAATATACGCCTATATTACTTAACGAATAAATGTGGGAAGTTGACTTTGAGATTCGTTTACTAGTTCTAGTACGACAGTAAACAAAGAATGAGTGTAAGGAATAATATTATTGTGAAATCTGATTGCAATTGCAAGATGATGGGTCGGTCACAAAGCAAATTTTTAGTCATGATTTGTATTTGGTCAACGGTTGGTGTATGGATCAATCAAATAGACCGGACGTATGTGTTCGTCCCAATATTTTCCTTAGTTGAAGTGACGCCGTCTTTAAAACAAGCTTGCCTTTTTGTTGAATGTCATCCAAGTCAATTCAAGTGTCGAATCCCGCCCGCTTCTTTAATAAGTGGCATTAATTCACTGTTTAAAACAAATATTTGTTTCGAGAAGATTGTACAGTCTCATTCCGTCACCAACTATACCGTGCGTATGGTGTGCTCTATATATATTTTCAGGTTGGGGTTAGTAATTCAACTTGAAAGCATTTAAGATCACTAACGTTTAAATTCAAGAATACTTTTTACCAGACAGGAGACACAGATATTTTCATTCGAGACCTCACTTAGCTCTGGAGGCGTCTCTAGAGCGGGGCATAGAGGCATCCGTCGGGGCAGCACACCATGGAGTTTGTTACTTAATTTGATGGTTTGAATAAAAATAGTACAAACATTTCGCTCTTACTTGATCTTCAAGTTATTCATTCCCATGTATATATGCATCTATAATTCATTTATCCTCCAAAATATTTTTGAAGTTAGTTATAAGGAACATTAATATCAGAAACTCGCCCCGAGCAGCATAAATGTTCGACACGCCCCTACTCAGAAACCAAACAGAGAAGTGAAACTGTTCAAGGTGTAAACAATTACACTTTGAAATACAAAACTATTATTATTTTCTACACATAGACTACTACGGGCAATATGTAATCGTTCAATGAAGGTGTCAAAATAAACTAAAATATGAAACCTCCTACCTATGGAATTGTCTAATCTACTAAACTGAATGTTTTGCACACCACTATTATACAACAAACCACTAGCACATATAGGCTAATTACAATATTTGTACAAAAAAAATAATTTGGTAGATATTTTAAACCATTACTCGCGCAATGCAAGATCCCAGATAACAGCGGCAGCGAGGTTGGCACCCCATGTCCTTATCGTGGAACAGTTTATAAGAAAAATTATTGGTTGCCACATACCAAGTATTTTTGTATACTCTTTGTTTTAGTTGTTTGACGATATCTATCAGAGAAACCCGAACATGAGAGTTACATAGACGAAATAGGTATTTTTAAACGGCAAAATCAGGTCACACTCCTGAATATTACGACCGTTTGCTGAATCATCTTGGCTACTAGCTAGCTCACAGGTTCTCAACGGGTCATGACCCACTGCTGGGCTACAGATACATTGTCAGGTGGGCCACAAACCTATAAAAAATTGCTAGAATTATTGATAAACCAGGTAATTTGATGGTGGTAGAACAATAATAATAATATGGTTTATCCTACTGATTGGTAATTTTAATTAAAAAATGGAGGTATTTATTTTTGCGGAAATAATTTTTTGTTTTTTTGGTAGTTTGGTATGACAAAAAGGCTGAGAACCGCTGAGCTAGCTGTTACGTTTGAATAAGAATGATTTTAAAATACAATGGCACAAAGAACGTATGCACACAATGTTAGTTACAATACTGATGTCATTGTCTTACAGTGGTTAAGGATTTATATGGTTTGGTTTGAATGTTGTATTATTCAGATGAACATTTTAAAACAAAATGCTGCGTAGGCTATTGCGACTAAATTCCAAATTTTACTAAAATAACCGTAAAGAGCGAGCGAAATATTTTGTCCTAATCAGTGTTCCTTTAATCCAGGAGTCGTGAGTTACAAGAAAATTGCAAAAAAAGCGAAGCGAAGATGGTGAGAGCCAGTGGCGGCGCGTGGTCATTTTGACAACCGGGGCAAGCTACTGCGGGACCAAGTCACCCCCATCTACGGGGACAGGATGAGCGCTGTAAGTTCTCCCATCATTTTATGAGTATAAAAACCATTCCATCGGTAACAACCAATCGGCAAAAGCGACAATTTTTAACGATAAGAAAGTGTCTTTAAAACTGGTCCAAGTCAAGGGATTAATAAATATAGACATAGTTTATTTTGAAACCTCTTTCAAAAGGAAAGGCAATATTTACCCAGATAAATACAATGATATATTAACAGACACTTCGGGAAAGCAGAAAAAAACCTAAAATAAGGTTTAAAACGTTACTATGAAGAAAGGAAATATAATGCAAAGATAAGGACACTCACTCATAGATGTATATGCTGCTAGACTTCTACTGCTTGAACATATATGCAACACGCCGCGGTTTCTTGGAAGCAAACTGCTCAATAACGCGCTGATTAAAGTCATGCATCCCAGAAATAACGTCTCTGTGAATGGATAAAACAGCCAAGGAATTTAATCTATCTTGCTTCATTGTGTTTCTGAGATACGTTTTAATACGCTTCAGCGTGCTGAATGTTCACTCTGCGTCGGCGGAAGAAATAGGCGTCGTCAAAATGATGTCCAGAAATTTTGCAGACGCCGCAAAGGTAGTTACTAGAGTGTTATCTATGAGGAACCCATAGAGCGCGCAAGTTGATGTGATGTTCAAAAAAGTTTGATTGGTGTATATACATCGCAATTCATTTTCCAATTTACCCACGTTTATCATGGGGTAAAATTTGGAGACAGTAGCCAACAAATGGATGGGAAATTGACGTGCAAATTTTGAAAAATTTTTGGGGTTCATCAAAGAGAACGCGGCAAGGTGTTCAGTGCGCAGACGATCGCCTATTTGATTCACCAGAATGTCACAGCATTCCTTTGCAGACAAAATCAAACGCTGCGTTGTTTGCCCGCGGCGTAAAGAAGCACTCTATGTGTCGTCGTATTTTATTGTTTCCCGGATAAGAGATACAGCATCGCAGAAGTCTGAAATACACGACTGCACAGACGCTCCATCCATTAGCCTTGACTGCAATGCGCCGTATAATACATCCACGTGACAGAATATTGTGGAGAAAAAAGCGAAAAAAAATGAAAACTCACCATCTTCTAGCAGACGCTTTAGACCTGCCGCCTCCCTCAAAGAGCGTTCGTCCCAAACCGGAGAGCTCTGAATGCCATTGAAACACTCAATGAGCTCAGACCTAATTTCGGACACGCCCTGCACCGCGCGTGATTGGAAGTTCCAACGTGTTGGTGCACAAACTGGGAGACGGCGGCTACATATCTGGCGAAGGTCAAAGCGCTTCGGCGAAACGGAATAAAATGAAGAAAATCCCGAAACATTTGCAAAAAATATACGGACGAGAGGGGTATCAAGACACATATTTTTAATAACGAGGTTAAATTGGTGTGCATAACAATGTAAAAAATGCGCATGAGGAAAATCTTCTTTTATATAAACTTGAATAAGTTTATAAGCCGTCATAAGTTTGAGCTATCAATTTTGACTTCGCGTTGTAAGGCTGTAACACTTCTTCCAGTACAGCCGATATCCCGCAAGCCGTGCGATCAACGATTGGTACAAAGCTGTGAAATCTCTCGGTAGGTTTACCATCTTTCACAAACCGAAAAATCACAGCCAGTTGGGAAACGCACGTGATGTCAGTTGTCTCGTCAGACTGAATCGAAAGGAACTGGCAATTCTCAATTTCCAGAGCCAAATGTTGTAAATAAATTTTAGACATTGAGTCGAGCAAATCATTTTGGATATCCTCAGATGTCCCTTTCGAAACAGTTGCGGCATCAAGATGATCTCGCAATACTGTATCTAGGGATGCGGTGTATTCCACCATATCCAAAAATACCCCTCTATTAGAAGAGCCAGCCCGTTCATCGTGCCCACGGAGGGACAGCTCGTGACAACCAATGAACTTCAAAACATCTATCAATCGACCGAGAACATGGCGGTTTTTCTCGACGTTTTGGTTGTGCCGACGAATAGAAACCGCGCGTCCTTCATCCAACTGTGCTGCAATATTAACATTTCCGAATGTTCGGTATTTTACTGCATTGTCCAGTTGCTCCATAGAAGATTGATGATCCCTAGCACGCTCGGAAAGATGTTTAAGATCTCTAAAACCAAATTTACACCAACGTGAGTCACGGGCGGCAGCAAAAAGTAGGCAATAAAAACAAAAAAGTGCGTTTTTGTCCTCGCTGTAACACAACCATTCGTGTTTTCTATACCAAGTTTCTGCGCAGAATGTACGCCGACGCTTTCCTCCGTCATGGGATTGTTCCAGTGAACAATTTTTTGGTTGATAAGGCCGTTGTACCTCTAATTTTTGTTCCAGCGGCAGCTGCGAAAACGGAGTGCGAAGTAGTGCATCAACCTTATTCATTATGAGGTCTAAGGCTAAGAAATGCGAAGCCGGAAGGAAGTGAGGAGCTCAAAAGGAATGTGGATTATCGAAAGCAAATGGACTAAAGGTCTCTAACTGATTCAAATAGCGAAACAAGCGACAAAAACGAAGGCGAGGAAACTATCAACTCTTCAAGCAACCAACGAACGAGAAGGAATGCGTGAATATGTCAACACGTTGTTGTAAGAAACGTCGGCATTGTGTCGTCATAATTTCGGGGCTAGTCCCGATGATTTAGTAAAATAAACAGAAAACAAACGAGACAAACGCGGCGAGTGGAAGATAAAAGAGAGAATACGATATACAATGAGCAACCGGGGCAAAATCGGCGTCGCCCCGTCGACGTTCAGCGAAGGCTTTGCGAGCGAAAAATGAACCATGTCGGGAGAATATGGCTAGTGTAGACAGTCGGGAGATATTGAGGTATTTTTCGAATATTTTTTATTATACCGAAAAAACAACCGGGGCATTGCCCCGGTTGGCCCTATTGACGCGCCGCCACTGCGTAGTAGTATATATTTACGATTAAACCACTTATCACCTTTTCCGCAATGCCCAATCTAGCAATCAGTGTAGTTTTTCGTGGCTTGGATTTTTATTAAAGCTTTCATGGGTATGACTATTATTGTAAATTTATTACATTCCACTCCCCACATTATCTTTGCATGAGGTTGTAGGTATTGGTCATTATCAACGTAATTGTTGAAAGTACAACAGCCCGAAAGTTCAATACTATCGTGTATTTTGTTTGTCAAGTTTGGCCCAAGCCTCATTTAATTGGGCTTGTGTTTTTGTATACGTGCTGGTGGGCAGGCACATGAGATACTTTTCATGTTTTAAACTTTTTCATAGGCTTTGCTTCCCCTCCAGAATTCTCCATTTTTAAATCTATGTTTGTTATGGAGTTTTCGAAATCTATCGATCGATTTTTCGAAACTATCTATCAAAGCGCAAGAATGACGCGATAGCCCTTGCCGACTCGTCGCGTATACTATGAACAGCGTGCCTTTTTCTGGTGCGAGAAAATCGCCTGTGCGCTGTAAATCCTATCTTACTTACCTAAAGATGAATAAAACGATTCGAAAACCGACAAAAAGGTTTAAAACGAGGTATTCTTCTAATTCTAATTTTTACAAGCGCATAAACGCGTGACCTAAGAAATATGGAAAGTCGGGTCTATCCGATGCACTTGGAGCTAGTAGTCTCAGTCGTAATCACTACCGCGTTGTCAGGTTGTAGACTATGTCAGTATGTTCATTTCCTTTGACATAAGTATAATAAGTATAAGTTTATTTCGACTCCATAATCAGCAAAACAATAAAATGAATGCTAAAAATAAATAAATAAAAACTGATTATGAAATCAGGAGAGCGAACAAAACCTTAGATAAGGTTTAAAACGTACAGAATGTATATAAGATGGAAGGTTTTGCCAAGAACATGTGGTACGTGTTCACTCACCTAAAATAATTGAAATATTTCACACACGCTCACACGCACCCACAACCATATAGAAGTTATTAAGTAAAGGGAACATGAAAAATTACATACTGGTAGTTAATAAAAAATAAATAAATAAAAATTACTTGCCACACCATATTTATAATGACCACCTAGGCTATTTCTTTTTGTATCAGTGCGGTATTGATATAGCCTAATTAGTAATATAGTAGTATGTGAAGCCTATCCTAAGCCTAATAATTAGTATATATAGGTATATAGTAATTACCGGTACTCAAATTATAAGATTTGAATAGTTTCAGAGTGACAAAAGTCAAATTATTGTCTGTACAACAGTACATTAAAAATATCTGGGAGTTATTTTCATCATGGACATTTCGGATATAGTTTCAAAATCTCGAGATTTTGTTGATGATATTGAGAAACTTCGATGTTATTGGGAGAGCAAGACTCACTGGCACGTCAGAAAAACATTTCTTCTTCACAACTGGGATGACTTCAAGGATAAAGATCGTTTAATTTGTCTTTCTCAAGCATGGGTCAATGTTCATTTTTGTGGAAATAGGTAGGTTTGTAAGTTCTATTTTGCAGAAACACTTCACATTCTGATATACTGAACATATCACATTTGTTTCAATATTTTTTTACCTAAGGGCTTCCCAATACAGTGATACCTCGGTAGTTGAACAATTCTATTATCGAACAATTCGGTAGTCGGCTAAAAAGTTTTAGACAAAAATGCTGTGGTACTCTAACAGAAATTCGATGCTCGAACACCTGAGCATGCCACAAAGTTAGATGTCACCCGAACTGTGTATCTCGGCTGGCTCTCATCCTTCGAGTATTTATTAAAAATGCGTAAGAAATATTTTAAAATAATTATCACTGTTATAGACTACTAATGGTAAAAAATAGTTTCGAATCCTGAATGAATTATGTTCGACTACCGAGGTATCAGTGTTTCAAAAATTTCTTAACAAGTTGAGAGGTATCACTACACAAAATAAAATATTTAAGAAAAAGACGTCGTGTTTATCCTGGAGGAAAGATGAGCTCAGAATCCAAGTTTTTAAAATAAAAGTGACTCAGTTTTCATTATAATATGTGATTTACTCGTATGCAAGGCCATGTTGTGAAATATTACAATTCAAGCCAAACATATTATGAATATTTAGCCACTTTTATTATAGATATCCCCAAGAAGTGATGGACACATTGAAAGATATGGAAGAAGGACTCGAACCTCCAGATAAAATGCTCCGGGATGCAGAGATCCAGGTGATTGGAATTGTTGGTGAGATTATTGATAAAAACGTAAACCATAGTATCCAGTTCTTGGACTACCATGTGATGCAGTATGGTGCGCTGTTTTATTGATAAGATACATTTTGAAAACTTTTGCCAAATCACCAAACTATTAATGGGAAATGTCACTAGACTGCTAGACAGCTATTTATTCAAATTGGGTCTTATTAATGGAGCTTGATATTTCAAACCGGATCTTAATTTTTTTTTAATTCACAGGCACACTTTTTATATACAGGTAACATTCTGCATTATTCTTTAATGTAAGCCTGAATTTTTGCTAGCCTTGCAGTTTCTATATTAGTATTCAACCTTTATGTTCATATATTTGAGTATTGCCCTGTTGTTTACAATTAAAATAACACTTGAAAATTATTTTTATAATTACTTTTACAGATGATACACCAAGAATGAAAAACATGCACGATACTTCCAAATTACCACATACTATTTTTCCAATGAGATTTGTAAAATCAGGCACAGGAAATACAAAAATATCTGACAATAAATTGTCATCAGATCAAATTGATGAACAATTAAGTAAAACAAAAAATGTGAATGTAAATAAAAGGTCAAATGAAGATGAAATTGAAGATGTGATAGAAATAAAACGAACGAAAGTTGATGGAAATATTACAAGTCAACCAGAGTCTCAAAAAGAAATCATTAATAAAAATTTTACTCAGCCAACTTTAATCACGAATAGAGTACCAACAATGCCTACGGATGCAACGTGTGTAAAAATTAATTTGAATTCAGAAGAGTATGAAAAGTTGAAAAATTTCATTATTCGCAAAAAAGTGAACGAATCTCCTTTATCTGTTATACAATCATCTACTTCATTTTGTCGCATCTCAGAAGAATATGTTTTTGAACAACAATACGATGATGAGGTTAATTTTGTATATTTATTATATTTATCTGTGTTTTCTTAGCCTGTCATAATCTATGAAACTTGAACTAGGAAAAGTAGGCCCAAAGAACGTAATTGTGAAAATAGTGAATCTAGTATTTCAAATTTCAATATCAGGGAAGAACCAATTTTTTATTAAAAATATGTATGTATTCGAAATTTAGTATATTTTGGTATAGGTAATACTTTACTCAAAGAATAATTAGAATCCTTTCATTTGAAGAATTCATAATAATGAGCATTTGATATTATTTATTGGGCGAAAAATGAACTTATTGGACTTTAAAAAGGGAATAGCGACCGTTGAGTAGGCCTATTGTAAAATTAAATTTCTTTAAATATTTTAAATGCATCGCGCTTCATGCAATCATTTTAGTATATATTCTGTATTAAAAATTAGTATTTCAGAATGTAATTGAATTAGTGAATTGTTCGGTTTCGGCCATCTCTAATTGAATTAACTTGTTAGAGATATTTCGTATTAAATCTGATTTATATCATTACTATGATTCATGTGCTCCGGAAAAGTGTTTAAATTTGCACATAGGCGACATTTGAACTGTTTTCGATCAGCCGTCTGCTGATATTCTTTGTTCGTAATTGTTTATGGTTTATGGGTATTGCTGGTGTTTATATAAGTTGATAAGTTCTTGCATTGTTCGTAGCAAAGAATGTATTTTGGTTTAATCAAACCTTACATATGATATTAATAAAATCATTCAAAAATTGACTTGTCTTTTTGTTCAGGTTATTAAAAGTCACAGTTGTTCATTATATCTGGGTGGTGTCTTAGTAGGAAAGGCATTTGCTAATCAGAAGAAGTCAGCAAAATATGCAGCTGCCTTTTCAGCACTGGAATTATTACAAACAACGCAACCAACTATATTAGTTTCTCAACCTGGGGATCTAGACAGTGCAATATCAAGGGATGACATTGCTTCGAAGTATGTCGATAAATTGTAGTACTTAATCATTGTTTTTTTACCAGTTTCACAATGAAGTCATTGAATGATGTAAATTTGTCATCAAACTTCTGATGGCCGTAACTCGAAAGTCTAAATATCCATTAGGCGTTCCAGACTTGCATACACAAGTTTTTGGGTCCAAAATGTGATTTTCAAATAGTTAGGCGATGTAATCAGAAATTCAGACTTCTAATGGCTGAAACGCAAAAATTGAAACCAAAAAAGCATTGGGCATTATAGGCAGACTTGGAAGGCTTGCGTACATGAAAGTTTTTTTTGTCAAAAATTGGAGATGGAGGCAAAATTCCCTCGATCCGAAGTCTAAGTTTTTTTTCAACTATTGGAAGAACACTAATGTGTATAATCTGTTTTCTATAGAGCTTTTAGTTCAATTAATCATCAATTTGTTCTGTTATTAAATTCTATGAACATCCATACAGTCAAAATATTATATGTTTAGGACTGGTTCTGCGGCTGGACAGAAAATATCAGATACAAATTTAGGAAATCAATTGCTACGAAAGATGGGATGGAAAGGTCAAGGTGGTCTTGGGAAAACAGGTTGGTAAAAATTTTTAATTCTGTGACTTTCCTATAATTATGCTATTTGCTTACTTTTATGAAAGGTTCAGGAATATCTGCACCAGTAACTGTGAAAGAAACATATGGCAGATTTGGTCTTGGTGTAGAAGATATTGGAAAAAATATAATAAGGTTTAGAGAAGCTGACAATGTTATCAGGTGCGCTTGGGATCTATATTTACTTACCGATATGTTTGTGTGTTTATATGGCCATTTTACTGTCAAAAAATACATGCAAAAAAATCAGTTCCCTCGCATTTTCTAGTAAATAATCACTTTTTACCATCTTTGGTATGATGACTTTTCACATTTGATACCTAGTATGTTTAGTATACAATCAACTTCCACCAGGATTTTTGTTCCAATTTTATGTTGTTTTCCAGAAATTATGCCTCTTCACAAAGGACAGATCATCTTACATTTTCTCCTGAGCTTACAAACATAGAACGAGCAAAGATCCACAAACTCGCTAAAAAGTATACTTTGATTAAATAATGTTTAATGATTCTTAGTTACCACTTGATTTATCGAGCTTGAATCATAAAAAAAACAAAGTACTTCTTAAATACATGAACACAAAGGTCATCAAAATTTGATTAGTTTCCAATGACAACCCCAAATTAGCAAGATAATATGTAGGTCATTGGTGTGTCCTATGATATGTTTAAATAAGCTTGATCCTCTCGGTTTGAATATTTTATACCAAACTAATATTGCATGAGTTGTATTCGTCTCTCTTCAAAGTCAAATATATCTTACTGCAAGTTCAAATAATATATATCCACTATCCAGTAATGAACATCAACATATTTGGAGGGGTTTTTTACTGCATTGTCCCCCTCATCAGGATCTGGATATGTTGGGCATATGATTATTGTGTTAAAACTTGGTGTAAACAAGTATTACTATATTTCCAGTTGGAATTATTGTTTCTTGTTCAGTTTATCGATTTCACCCTGTTTTTTTTTTTATCAATTCATAGGTATGGACTCCGTAGCAAATCATATAACAAAGATGATATCAGATATCTTGTTGTTTCAAGAAAAATGTCTGCTACTGCATTACTTGACAAACTGAAACGATCAGGTGGAAATATCAAAGGCGCTCAACTTATTGATCCAAGACCAACCAATATGCAAGAAAGCAAGTGAAACATTTACGGTAGTTAAAAAACGGAATGCAGGAACCCATCAGAGTATGAACCCTTTTGGCATTTAAAGTGTCGAGTTGCTCTAGTTTGCAATGCTTACCAATCCGAAATCTTGGGTCTACTGCTCTTACAACTGCGCAGTAAAAAGACCTAACTGTGAAATGGCGAGCATGCCAGGATTTGGTCGAGAAATATCTGTGACACTTATCAGATACCATTTTTGTCTGTAGACTTATTGCCTGTAGATTTATTGCCTATTCGTTAATGATTCCAAATTTGTGTTTCGAAATTTTATAACTAGAGCTATTTAATATCTCTGTAGCTTATTTTGAACCATTTTAATGTGAAATGAATTTATTTCTGAGAAAATAAATTTATTTGCATATTTGAGCAAAACCCATAGTAAATAATCAGTTCGCAAAAATCTTGCATTTTCCCATCACCACTGGTGTTAAGAAATCTTTCGAGAAGTAGATATGTTGTGTCTTGGTTTAGCCACTACCGAGAGCTCCTTTCGCCAATACTAGACAATAAAGCATTAGTATGACTTGCAGAGTTTTGGAGTGACGGCGTTACAAGAAAGACTTCTTCCTCGCTAAACAACGATTGAACCGACTTTGGAATACTGCCAATAATACTCTGCTATTCTGTTGTCTCAGTATACGACTGAAAGCAGTCAGAAATATTAATATCACTCCTGCTGTGTACTCGTATATTGCAAATGTTCAGTTTCCTCCATCGTCTAACATACCTTTTCCTCATATTCAGACTCGAATGCAAGTGTTGCATGTGAAGCAATATATACGAAGTGAATATAATGGCAATTAAAAGCACGTTATTTACATAACAACGTAAAAGCGCCATACGGCCAAACGAGAGAACTATGGTTTTCACATTGAGAACATGGGTATTACATTACACCTCCCTACTTTATGATGAAAAAAATTTACTCAGATTTTAGACAAACAAAATAATTGAGAGCGCTTTCTTACTTCAACAATACTTTAGTTGTTACATTACCGGTTCGTTACCCTCTGCTACCAGTATCGCAGGCTGCAATATCATATTACTTCGCTATATTACAACCGCTAACAGTCAGGGAAAGCGGAATATCTGTGGTTGCTCTGTCTAAGAAAAATCACGTTGAATTGTTAACAATTGGGAATGAAGAGATTAGAATAAATAATAGTCTCAAATATATTTTCCAACCGTGATACAAAGGCTGCCTTCTGCTTGAAATGGCACATGATGAAAACCGAAAATTATTTTGGAACATTTTTCCATCAGCAAGAATTGTTCTTGATATTTCGTGTTTGCAATAGTTAGATAAATAAAATGATATACACATATAAATATATATATATGTAACAAATTCAACTGTACGTATTCTACTCACGTTGCGTTGTTGACTGAGCAGCAGGCAAGAACCAGATGATATTGAAAATATTTTCACACTGCACTTCATTTGGCAGTTGAAAGCTGTGGAATGTTCAATCAATTATTTAGTAACTCTAAAGATATAATCCACAAGTATGACGTCAATCAAACATGCATACAGAATAGATTATAGAGGCAGCCTCTTTGATTTGAGTTTAATACTGAAATGTAAATGCATACAATTCCCTTATACGCGTGTCATCTTTTAATAGCTGGTACGATTCCCAATTTAGAATGTTAATTTTATTCGGACACAATAATTTGGTATTCCCCAAAGCACTGTCCATAGTTTCACAACACTATATCTGTAATCTGACTTCTCTTCTGCCATTCTTCTTTGTTTGCATTGTAGGTAATGCAATTTAGTGACATATAAATTATTTGTTTCTTTATCGGGCGACATATATTCGTATATACAGAGAATGTTGTGACAACATTTGCCATCGTGTTAAATGTGGGTGTTTGTGTGGTTTCTTTATAATGCATGAAATGAACCATTTACTTTTTTTTTATTTATTTTTTCAAATTCCCAATGGAGTCCTAATGGGCATGATATTCAATACAAATTTTTATTCACTGGCCAGTTGTATAGGTCGATATTTCATCTCCATTTATGTTTGTTATTTTGTGTAAAAATCAAAATTCCAAATTGTTACATGCAATATGTAACTTCTTCGAGCTAAATTTGATATTGGATCATAAAATGATAGATCGGCATCGATTGCAATACCAGCTATCAATAATATTTTTCTATGTCTTTACGTAAGCCGGTCATTTTCAAATACCTGATGATTTCAGAATCAAACCAAATTTTTTTTTAAATCGAATCGAATATTTGGAAAATTTTTAAATGTAGGCTATGTGACTTTTTTTATTCCTCAAGGAACATAAGATAATGAAAACTTAGTATCCATCAGCCTTGCATTTCGCTGAGTGTTTACACACAATAAAAAACATGTTCCATCAATAACTCACTATAAGGAAAAAGAGAAAAATGTCAGAATTGCATTTTAAAAATATGGCTTCAATAAAAAAATTGATGGATTCACCCCGTCCTCTAAAAAACAAGATGACGACTATTTGAAATGTTTGTCTGAACCGAATCATTTACCATTCGATTCGAAATGCGCAGTTTTGTCATTAGTGTCGTGAACAATGATGTGTGCGATCAACCTATTCGCACGAAATGGAATTATAAGGTTAAGGCCAATGAAAAAAAAATATAAAAACATATTCATTCTTTCACGATAGGGACACTAAGAGAAGCTTGTGGTCTGGAATTATTTTCCCATTAATAGTGTTTATTAGAGTTGAGGAATGCCTCAAATAAACTATAATGTAGAGATATAGATAATAAGAGTATAATATTGCACGAAAATGCAACTTCAATTTCATATCCGTATCCACTAGTGTCACATCGCCTCGACACTAAAAAAGCACCGGCATTGACATTACAGGTTATGCATCTGGGCTTCAGACCTGACCATCAACATACCAAAGTGCCGTAATTATCAGTTTGGTGCTCACGTAGTATTCGTACCATGGCATGTTGCCTTAGGATACTTTGCTCCCCTATGCCTTACTTAATCCCCACATTAGTGCGAATATGGCGCTCCAGAAGTATTGGTTGGAAGAATGTTGCAAATAGCAATATGAAACACTGCGCAATTGTGGCCGACTACAGATTGTATTTTGAGATAAACGATTTAATTTTAAGTTTCTCATAAATCACTAAAAATATGTTTTTGCCTAAAATAATAAAGTTAATTTTATTCGGACACAAGAATTTAGTATTCCCAAAAGCACTGCTTCTTTGTCAGGATCGTAAGTAATGCCTTTTAGTTACATTATGAATTATTATTTGTTGCTTCATCGTGCGTCATATATACGTATATACAGAGAATGTTGTTACAAAATTCGCCTTCGTATTAAATGCGGGTGTTTGTGCGGTTCCGTTATAATGCGTGAAAAATAAACCATTTATAAACGTTTGCCAAACGTACCGCACGTCTTTCCCTGTGTGTTTTGGCCACGCTAAATTTTGGTTCTCCTGAAGTATGTGAACCAAGACGGCGGACACCGGGACGTAGTATGTGTACCAGGTTAGGGTTAGGCCATAATTTTAGGTTCTAATACTACGGGAATCACTAGGCTAATCTCCGACCTCGTAATAGAACTAAAATAAGGAAAATTGGAATAAAATTATAGCCTAACCCTAACACGCTAAAACATACTACGCCCCGGTGTCGGCCCTATTAGTTCAGATACTTCGGGAGTACAGAAGTTTCTTGTCGGTTCATTTGCTACTCTCATTTGCTGATCGCTAAGCAGTAAATATCATCAACACCCTTTGAGTCCCGGAAGGTGAATATTATTCGTCGACCTTGACACATGGTCATAAGAGGGTCCAATACTGCTAATTGCACGTTCCTAAATTGTTAAATACACAGTTAGGAGTCAAAAAGTCCAAATACGTCAGCATTTCAATATTTCTCTTCAGAGGTGAATCTTCGAGGCTTGTTTACATGTTTGAACCAGGGCTGAACACACAGTCTGTGCCATCATTACTTATGCCCTCCATAAGCTTTATCTATTGATCATTGGCTATTGCTTTATTTAAACGAGAGACCACGTGATAAAAAAATTATTGTTGTCTGGGTCATGGATTTCGATGGCATTTAAACATATAAAAATAGTTCTCATACCTACAAACAGTTATAAGAGGTAAGATGATACTTGAGGAAGAAAATAAGCCGAAATTTATTTCAACCGGGACCATATTGATGTCTGAATCGTCTGATTAATCATTTCATTGACCATTCATGCACTAATGAAAACTCGGCTATAAAAATTTCTGCGAATAGTGAAATGAAATGTCATTTAAATGTCACACGACTGGCGATTTATACTTGTAATACTGTTATGAAGCGTCAGTCATGAAACGTTTGAATGGCATTTCACCGTAACTTTATTACTATTAAAAACGTCTCATGCCTATCGCGATCGACTAAAATCTTCGAAAAATAGCTTGCACGAAAACGAATGGATATTGAATACGCAGATAACTGCACACACACATACGAAAAATTTCACCATTACCAATAAACTCGGCTTTGTGGGCGCATTTTTTGTAATGAAATCTACACAAAATTTTTATTCCATTTAAGTTGTTAATTTGATTTTTCAATTGTACCCGGAGTGAATGTTTCATCATTTATTTAAGATTTATTCAAATCAAACAATTCAGATATATGGCCTGCCTAATTTTTAGTCGTAAGTATTAAAAATTCCTCAAGAGACCTTGCCAAGTATTCATGTATTATCTGAATACCGAAAAATAAATATTCTTAAATCATGGATGTTACATGACTGCTCAAACTTCAGTATCTAATTTACAATTTTCTCAGAACGCGATTCTTCGCTTGCTTAGAATTAGAACAAGTTGGGCATTTTGATGCCACTGCTACCATTGCGAATGAAATTTATCACACTACTCTTGGAGTGAGACAATAACTTATTGTATGATCGTTTGTCAGTCTAGACACGCGATATTCGGCACTTCATTTTTGAACACTGGCAGCGGAAAAAACTAGCGTTTGATACGTAATAATATGCTTTATCGGGTTGCCCAGACTTAAATACTGTATGTGCATATTGTATCTTGCGCATGTAAAGTACTGTGATCTTCTTGTTGTAAACAACACAACTGGTTCGACAAAATTTTCGGCGGTATTTCAATAAAATTCACTCAACATCAGACGCGATCGACAACTTGAGACGTGGCGAAGGACATCATGCCGCAAAATTCCTAGTGTTTGGTAAAATATTCACGACCATCATATTTTGAAAATCATTCCACAAATATCTTAACGTAAACCTACAACGTTCGTTGACCGAAAGCTTCTAATTTTTCAGCAAAATTTGGGGAGTAAGAATTATCCATGGGAAGCACAGAAAAAATGATCAAAATTGTTTAACAACATTTTTTGATTTTACCCATAAATCAAATTTAATATTCGATATACAAATTAAATGCATATACACCTATATTACTTAACGATTAAGTGTGAACAGTTGACTTTGAGATTCGCTTACTGGTTCTAATACGACAGTAAACGAAGATCGAATGTAAAGAATAATACATTTGGGGGTCATGAAATTTTGAAGAATTGGTGTCTCACTTATCTGTTCAATTATATGTGTTATTACAGCTTCCTAGATTCTAACTTGTGAATATATGTCGATTGTGGAAATTACCACCATGTCCATATTCAGTTTTTTGGAAGTAAATACGTGGACATACACAGTTGTGGTTGGTTGAAGACTAAACAATTAATTTCTTCTTTCGCAGAAAAATTTGAGGTGTTTTGAGCAAGGTTCGTCATTTAGCATCCAATCGTAATGTGGTCGAAAATGCGCGCAATCTTCAATGCCGCCCTGATTATCCGGTTGGTTGACAAACCAATAAGTTTTTTCCCTTGTTGAAGTGACGCCGTCTTTCCAAACAAACTTTCCTTCTTGTTGAATGTCATCCAAGCCAATCCAAGTGTCGAATGCCGCTTCTTTAATGAGTGGCATTAATTCACTGTTTAAAACAAATTTTGTTTTGAGAAGATTGTACAGTCTCATTCCGCCATTTCACCAACTATAACGTGCGTATGGTGTGCTCTATATATATTTTCAAGTTGGGGTTAGTAATTTAACTTAAAAGCATTTAAGATCATTAACGTTTAAATTCAATAATACTTTTTACCAGGCCAGGTTTGAATAAAATTAGTACAAACATTTCATTCTTACTTAATCTTCAATTTATTTATTCCCATGTATAATTGCATCTATAATTCATTTATCCTCCGAATTATTTTTAAAGTTAGGTATGAGGGACAATCAGAAACTCGCCTCAAGCAGCATAAATGTTCGACACGCCCCTACTCAGAAACTCAAACGGAGAAGTGAAACTGTTCAAGGTGTTGTAAACAATTACACTTTGAAATACAAAGCTATTATTACTTTTTACACATAGACTACTATGTCCAACATGAAATCGTTCAATGAAGGTGTCGAGATAAACTAAAATATGAAATCTCCTACCTATGGAGTTGCCTAATCTACTAAACTAAATGTTTTGCACGCCAATATTATACAACAAATCACTAGCATATAGACTACCTATAGTACTATTTGTACAAAAAAATAAATTTGGTAGATATTTTAAACCATTACCTGCGCACTGCAGGATCACGGATACCAGCGGCAGCGAGGTTAGCACCCCTTTTCTGACATTCGTATTGGGCAGTTTCATACGACACCTTATCGTGGAACAGTTTATAGGAAAAATTATTGGTTGCCACATACCAAGTATTTTTGTATACTTTTTGTTTTAGTTGTTTGACGATATCTGTTAGAGAAACACGAACATGTGAGTTCAGCAAGTGAATCTGTTTTTTCTAAAAAATAAAATCACCATTTTGAATTTTTATAAATGTTTGAAGTTGTTATTATGCTAAGCATCGAACAAGAATGTCCTGCTAGTAATTATCGCAGATACTTGGAAGGTAAACATCTTGAATTCATTTTTCCAGCATTTGCTCTTGTAAAACTGGAATTAAATTAGCTATTTTTGCGACAGCGTTCTATTTTATATTTTACCATTGGTAGTTGGACTTTGACAAGAACCTTCGGTTACAAAATGACCGTTCTTCCATTTAGTCACACATAATTCTCCATCTGAATGAATAGAAATACCCGTGTTATTAATGCAAACATAAAAACACCAAAATAAAAAATAAATTTCAACAACGATGTCAAAAATTAATATTTCTGGTTATGGGTGGGTATAAATTTATTAGAAATCAATATCTTGATTTCTTGTTTTTCTCTTAATTTCCCTTCTCTTATTTCATTGTAATTTTTTTTAATCCTACCAAAATTAAAGAAATATTCGAAACAAAGTTTAACCTAATCGTTTCGTTGTAAAAAATGGGTTTCTTCGCAACTAACGGAGCAATCGAATCCAAACTCAAATTTGAAAGAAGTTGCTCGAAAACTACTTTTTTACTTTATTTTTTCAAATTTTGTCTGAGTCCTGATGTACATGATATTTAATACAAATTTTTATTACATACGCTAGTTGTATAGGTCGAAATTTTGTAGAAGATTTTATCTCCATTTATGTTAGTTATTCTGTGTAAAAATCGAAATCCCAAATTGTTATATGCAATATGTAATTTCTTCGTGCTAAATTTGATATTGGATCATAAAATGATGGCATCAATAATATTCAATACCAGCCATCAATATTATTTTTACATGTCATTACGTAGGGCTGGGCATTTGAAATACCTGATGATTTCAGAATGGAACCAAATATTTTTTGGAATGGAATCGAATATTTGGAAAATATATAAGTGTATGTGACTTTTTATTGTGAGGAGTCCTCAAGAAACATCAGATACTGAAAACTTAGAATCCTTCACTCACCTACAGTTCACACACAATAAAAAACACATTTCATCAATAACTCACTAAGAAAAAGAGACAAATGTCAGAATTGCAATTTAAAAATATGGCTCCAATAAAAAATTGAGGGATTCAACACGTCCTCGAAAAAACAAGATGACCACAATTCGAAATTTTTGTCTGAACAGATTCGAATAATTTACTATTCGATTAGAAATGCGCAGTTCTGTCATTAGTGTTGTAAACAATGATGTGTGCGATCAACCTATTCATACGAAATGGAATTATAAGGTTAAGGCCAATGAAAAAAAAAATACAAAAACATATTCATTCTTTCACGATAGGGACATTAAGAGAAGCTTGTGGTCTGGAATTATTGTCCCATGAATAGTGTTCATTAGAGTTGAAAATTACCTCAAAGAAACTAACAGTATAATATTGCACGAAAATGTTACTTCAATTTTATATCCGTATTCACTAGTGTCAACTCCGTTCGAAACTAAAAAAGCGCCGGCATTTCCATTACAGGTTACGCATCTCGGCTTCAGATGTCCATCAACACACCAAAGTGCAGTTTGGTGTTTCCGTAGTATTCGTACAAGGACATGTTGCCTTACTTAATCCCCACATTGGTGCAAATACGTCTATCCAGAAGTATTCGTACCAATGTGGGAATTAAGTAAGGCAATGTAAAGCAAAGTATCCTAGAGGGAAACTGCCCTATTAGGAATACTTCTGGGGCACCATTAGTTTTAACATGTCATTCTGTCAATTACTACACGAAATCTAAGAAACATCACGCTAAATTGATAACAATTAATAATGGAGGGATTAGAATAAATAATAGCTTTAAATATAGTTTTCAATCATGACACAAAGGCTGCCTTCTGCTTGAAATTGCATATGTTGAAAACTTTTACGGAACATTCGATCATCAGCAAGAATTGTTCTTAATATTTCGTGTTGGCAATAGTTGGATAAATAAAATGATATACAAATATAAATATATATATGTGTAACAAATCCAATTGTACGTATTCTACTCACGTTGCGTTGTTGACTGAGCAACAGGTAAGAACCAGATGAAAATAGAAAATATTTTCAAACTGCACTTCATTTGGCAGTTGAAAGATGTGGAATGTCCAATCAATTATTTAGTAACTCTAAAGATATAATCCCCAAGTAGGACGTCAATCAAACATGAATATAGAGTAGGCTATAGAGGCAGACTTTTCAATTTGAATTTAATACTGAACTGTAAATGCATATAATTCCATTGTACGCGTGTCATCTTTTAATAGCTGGTACGTTTCCCAATTTAGAATGTTGCAAATAGCAATATGAGACACTGTGCAATTGTGGTTGGCTACAGATTGTTTTTTGCGCTAAACGGTTTCATTTTAAGTTTATCATAAATTACTAAAAATAGGCTTTTGCTTAAAATATTAAAGTTTATTTTATTCGGACACAAAAATTTAGAATTCCCAAAAGCACTGTCCATAGTTTCGCAACACTATTTCTATAATCTGAACGCTCTTCTGTCATTCTTCTTTGTCAGCATTGTACGTAATGCAATTTAGTCACATTATGAATTATTATTTGTTACTTCATCGTGCGTCATATATACGTATATAGAGAGAATGTTGTGATAACATTCGACTTCGTGTTTAACGTGGGTGTTTGTGTGGTTCCGTTATAATGCGTGAAATAAACCATTTATGAAAGGTTGCCAAACGTACTGCGAGTCGCACGTCTTTTCTTTCTTGTATGTTTTTGCCATACTACATTTTTTGTCGGTTCATTTGCTACCCAGATGATTGCTAAGCAATAAACATCAACACCCTTTGGTGGATATTATTCGTGGACCTTGACGTATGGTCATAAGAGGGTCCAAGACTGGTAATTGCATGTTTCTAAATGTTAATTACACAGTCTTCAGGCGTCAAACAGCTTAAATACGTCAGCATTTTTTATTTCTCTTTAAAGCTGAAACTTCGAGGCTTGTTTACATGTTTGAACCAGGGCTGACCACACAGTCTTGGCAATCATCATTCATGCTCACTATACGTTTGATCTAGTAATAATTGGTCATTGCTTCTTTTGAACGAGAGACCACGTGATAAAAAGAAAGATGGTTGTCGGGGTCTTGGATTTCGATGGCTGTAATGGGATTTAGATGAAGTTTATCAGTATTGAATAGAGTAGACTGTGATGATGGATAGAAGTCGCAAGTGTTTATCTTTGCACAGGAAAATGGCGTTTAAGTTGCAAGAAGAGCATTCTAACTGAACCATGGTTAACTATAACCACGCAATGCACATTGAACGACGAAAAATAAGAGTTATCAAAAATTTTTTCCCCGTTTTCATCAACATTCCTTCCAAATGGCACCTAACTAGTGTTTTTAGCGTAAACAGCAGACTTTATATGACGTCCTATATCTTAGGAGTTCATTGAATTCTCATTGCAAGAGTTCAGTACAGTATGTATCGTGTTGATGAGGCAACTTTTGTTTTTTTTGCAAACCACGGTCTCTCGTGGCGAACACGGCCGAAACGCTTCATAAAAAAAAGGGCCGTGGTAGAGAAACCCGACCCGACCCGAACGTAATGATTGACATTTCAGGCCCGACTCGGCCCAAATTCCGGGTCGGGCTTCAGATCTTAGCTCTAACACAGACCCATAACTAGAGACTTGTTTGTATCTAAATTGTCATTCGCTCGTTTGAAAGGGGAGGTTTGGTTCAACACACTGAAATAGTCAAATCGTCAGTATCACTACTTGTTTACTACAGGCGATGTAAATTGAAGACGAACTTTCAAGTAACAATGAGATCGAGGCGTGCAGTGGAGGATATATCGAAAAATAACAATGCATTCTATTATTTATCTTTATACGGCTATTTTTGCAAAATAATTTTTTTCTCTCTTACATTCATATTGTAGATATTTAGAATAGAACCACTTCTGACACCATGATTCGTTTCTTAATTGCTATCTGCTCAGAATAGAAACTCGTATACAACTGAACTCCGTTTATTGAGAACAGCGGCACAACTTAAACAATGCAACAAAACAGCAATCATAAACAAACGTCTACAAGTTAACACAACTGTATATCGACTGGCGAGCCAGACGAGTAGACAGATGAGATGCATTGCGCCGCAACAATTAAGAGTTGTCGCGCTACTCATCATTTGAGTAATCACATTACGTCACAAATAATGTGAACATAATTTTCTGGATTTGAATTTACGTTTTGACGCATCCAAATCTATACTCACATCCTTATTCATTTCAAATTACTTTACAGCATATACAGAAATATATAAAGAATGTAACTGGATTCATGTTTATACTAGCAGTGTCAATCTAGATACGTATTAACGAATTCACTCATATGGAGATTAGAAAAAGAGATAATCGAGGGTGCTGTTGGCCAAATTTTAATCATCGTGTTCTACCGTGTACCCCCGAAAAATAAGACTGGGTCTTATTTTAATTTTCTTTCGAAAAATTCGGGAATGTCTTATATTTTCATTTTATTAAAAACAAAATTACAAAGTAGAAAATTACGAGATTTTCAAATATACAAAATAAAAAAACCGATATCCATTTACTTATAAATAACCTGCTTTTATTCAAAATAACTGCAAAACAGAGAACCGATTATTAATCAAAAACATCTAGGAGAGATTTCTTGCTATCGACTAAGTAAAAAAAAATCGCGTTATTGCATTGGTCTTATTTTAAGGAAAGGGCTTATATTGAAATCATTTTAAAATTGAGGCTAGGTCTTATTTTCAGGGTGGGTCTTATTTTCGGGAAAACACAGTATCTGCCTATTCCGTAAGTGTTAGCAAAGCGTTCAGATGCCCATAGAAAAAAACAGTGATATAAAATTAATATAAATATTGCCGGGTATAGTGAAAATACATTGCTGCACAACCATTATACGGCGACTTATTTGAATCACCAGCCTTAAACTTCACCAATTATTTACACCTCATAACAATGATTGACGTTGTCAGACGAATCTTTTGTTGTCTGTGTCGCCACTTAGTGTTAACTCGTTACACGACTAACTAGCGCCCTTTAGTGTGAACACTGCTGGGACTTAATGCTATCCTAAATATTTTTCTCGTAACATTATTTTCGATGGAACGTTTCATTAAATCAGGGGTCACCAAACTACGGCCCGCGGCGACCTTTCATCCGGCCCGCGACGACACGAAAAAATGGCAAAACAATTTTTTTTCCAAAGGATGTTTCCTCGAGCTTCCACTTCATTGTTTATTTTGTAACATTTGCCAATCAGCAAGATGCAAAAAGTGACGTACTTATAGGCCATTTCGAAACCGTTCAGACACTTTTGTCACTCGGACAGATTTTCAGTCGTGGTTGTTAACAATACCTCGTTTTTGCGATTTTCAATGCTATTCGTTAGTTTATGGTTTTGTTTCGGAAATTTTAGTATGAATCAAATAAGCCAATCATCATTTTGCCTGCATAGGAGTTTTTGTTTAAGTGCAGTATTCAAAAATTAGTCCAGAAATAGCTGTGGTAAAATAGTCTAAAATTCCCTACCGGTACGCAACGTTTTCTGCGAAGGATGCACTCTTACACGCGTGGCGCGGGCTTTCGGCGAAACTGTTGCTGTGTATGTTTCTCGGGCTAAAATGAACGTCTAACGTGCATGTTGCGAAAATAGTAGGTTACTGTAATATATCACGTACTGCTCAATAACATATATTTTTTTCTCACCAGTCATCATGGCCACTAAAAAGAGAAAAATAGATGTAGAATGTCGTATTTTCAATAAAGAATGGGGAGAGAAATATTTCTTTATAGAATCAAATGATCAAAATGCTATATGCCTAATATGTAATGGCATTGTTGCCGTGAAAAAGGAATGTAATGTTCGTCGTCACTATGAGACTAAACATCTTTCAATGTATTCTAAATATACTGGGAAGATGCGCAGTGATAAATATGAGTCCAAGAGACGTAGTTTAGAATCTCAGAGGAAACTATTAACAAAGAAGTTTGCGGAAAATGAAACGGTAAATCACGCGAGTTACAAAATAGTAACAAAGTTGGTAGAGCGGGGAAACCATTTACTGATGGGGCCTTCATTAAAGACTGCATATTGGAAGCAGTAAATTATTTGTGTCCTGAGAAAGTCAATCTATTCACAAGTATAAGCTTATCACCGTCTTCAGTTGTTAGGAAAGTACAAGAACTCGGAGCAAATGTAGAGCAACAGATTCATGACAAAGCAAAGAACTTGTTGTTGTATTCCTTAGCACTGGACGAGTCGACAGATGTCTCAAGTACATCGCAGCTGTTAATATTCATCCGCGGTATTGATACCAAGCTCAATATTACAGAAGAGTTGGCATCCGTTTGTAGCATGCATGGCACAACGACTGGAGAAGACATTTTCAAGGAGGTGCAGAAAACTTTGCAAGACTATGATCTTCAGTGGAACCAACTTCGATGTGTTACAGTTGGAGGAAAAAACATGGCAGGAGTGAAAAGGGGTTTGGTAGGGCAGATTCACAAACAGTTGGAAGATCTTCAGCTTCCTAAAGCTCTGTTTATACACTGCATAATACATCAACAAGCACTTTGTGGAAAAGATCTCGATATTCCTTGTGTGCTGAAACCTGTCACAGCGGTGGTCAACTTTATTCGAAGTCAAAGTCTTAACCATCGCCAGTTCCAGGCATTCCTTGAAGACATTGATTCTGATTTCAGTGACCTACCTTACTACACAGCCGTGAGATGGCTCAGCTGTGGCAAAGTCCTGTCTCGTTTTTACAAGCTCAGAAGAGAAATAGACCATTTTCTCATTAAAAAGAATAGAGCTGATCCACAGCTTGATGTACTTCAGTGTTTTTTATTATTTCCGTCAAATACTGAAAGTTGCTGAAAGTTTTGGCATTTTCCTGAAAATTTACTGCAATAAGTCAAACAGCAAGTGAGATCATGAACGTACTGAGCCCTGAATACAATACAAATCCAAATTCTGAATACAATACAAATTCAAGAGGGCTCAGTACGTTCACGGCACAGGTGGGTGAAACATAACTAAGGAGAAATTTTTCCCCCGCTCATTGTGATGAGTGCCCCATTGCGCAGTTGACGTTATCAATGACAGTCATTGTCGTCCATTATAAAGAGCAATACCAATAGATCAAAAATACTACACTGCTGGAGACCGAATCAAAATATCATTAAATTTATAG